TATCCCCAAGTATGACTCGCACCCCAAATTTTAGTAAATCTAAAACCACAAAATTTTGAAAATAGCAACACAAAATTTGACTTTAGACATGAATTTAACAAAAATCTGATCAATTTTCAACTTTTTCAGTACAAAAAAGTTTTCTTGTCACTTTTTTCCAAATTTCTCCATTAAGATTAAGTATAATGCACACAGAACTTTCTAAAACTTCTTGAAAAATTTGTACCCGCTTATGATGCGCACCCCTTTTTTTCTTCTGAAATTTCAGAAAAAAGGTGCGCAGGGTACTTGAGTAAATACAGTATTTAAAACATTCAGGAAATGAATATAATAATTTCAAGAAACTTATTCCAACCTGGTTGTGAAACATTTCTGGTTTCATACCATGAGCCAAATGCAAGGCAAACATGGTTCTATCCTTCTTGTACAAACTCTGGCTGACATAGTGATACACAAGAACAAGCAAGCTGTGCTTCAGGCCTTCCACTCTTTGCTCAGTGTTGCCAGTACTCTTCTGCAATGATTTCAAATCAAGATGTCACAAAAATATTTGAATAAATTAAAATGAGACAGCAGCTCATCACATCTCCAGTCTGCAAGGCCTTTTGGAACAGCTCAGTGAAGCAGCCAAGTGAGAACCTGTACATGTTGTTCATCTTCAAAAGGTCTTGGATCACAAAGTACAAATTGGCTCCTGTCTCTGCCAGAGGCAAGTAAGTGTTTCTTTCAGCTTCCAAACTTGCTTGTAAACCAACTGATTCAGTCAGATTCTTGCTGATCTTTTCTGCTGAAGCCTTCATTTCAGTCAGTGATGACAGTAGCTCCTTCAGAAGAAAAGAATACATTTGTGTGGTTTATAAACCAAGAAATTGAACAGCAATATCAGCAAATGACACTTTGGCTATTCTTTTATCAAAAACTTTAATTCTTTAATACTTTTTATTTTAAAACTTTAGCCAAGAAACCATAAACATGATGTTCTGCCTATACTCACATGATCAGACAAGATGTCACCCTTGGATTTAGCCAGCTTCTCCAGAACAGTGTCCTCCATCTGCAAAAGGGACACTTTCATGTCTTCACTTTGCCTCAGCAGTTCTTTTCTCCTGGTTTCCAGTTCAGGCT